TTTTATTTGGTGGAGGCACGTGCCTGTGTCTGCGAAGTCTGACACTTACTCCGCCATCTTGCTTTTCCCACCCTCCCTATTTCCAATGTCGTGTTCCGCACAACTTCCCCCTCCTTGCCCTTGCGCCTCTCCTGCCTTCGTCCTCTCTTCCCCTCCTGAGTTCGGATCCCTTAAATCCAGATAAGTTTTGATATTGAAAAGTAGTTAAAATAAAATGGGGAGAGAAAATGAACGGCAGCATACGAATGGAAAAGCCACCATTGCTACGCGCCATGGAGAAGGAGGGCGTGTGGTTCGCAAGTTGTAATGAAACCTGAATGTCCAGAACAAGTCCCATTCGTCGGACCCACCACAAAAATAACCCCATCGCTCCTAGTCTGATTCACATTTGACCTTTTGACCAGCCCAGTCACGTTACGCCACTTCATTCCCACGTCTCTCTCTTCATCCCTCAAATCAAAGCTCACCAAGTTTCATTGTGAGTGCTCTGACGCCCCATATTTCCCTGTCCCTATCCCCCCCCCCCTCACGCTGTCAGACCGAGAAAGCTATAGTTGAGACGATCTAAGTGAGAAGTCGCACAAGTAAAGTGCAATGGACGAGAGGCCGGAGACAGAGTTGATATCTATTCCGGCTACGCCGGAGACGCAGACGCCGTCGGGGCAAAGGTCTCCGAGGCCGACGTTGAAGGAGGCAAAATCGTCGAACACCTGGACTCCGACGTCGCTGATATCGCCGAGGTTCTTGAGCCCCATAGGGACGCCGATGAAGAGGGTGCTGATAAACATGAAGGGTTACTTGGAGGAGGTTGGCCACCTCACGAAGCTGAACCCTCAAGACGCGTGGCTTCCCATCACGGAGTCGCGCAACGGAAATGCTCACTACGCTGCGTTTCACAACCTCAACGCTGGGGTTGGCTTCCAAGCCCTGGTTTTGCCCGTTGCTTTCGCTTATCTCGGCTGGTACGTCAAGATTCCTTCGCTTTCTTCAGTTCACCGCTGACATGCTTCGTCTTTATTTGCCTCTAATCGTCTGCAATATTTTACTGTTGTCACCAGAGACGGTAACTAAACTTCCAATAATGAAGAGTTCTTTTTAATCGCATTCCTTCAATTCATCTCTCTCCGGTTACATAACAGTGTATTTGAGTCCTTCCGAGTTTTCTGCTTCTTTGACTGTTCTCTCCAGGTCTGCATGCTGCTCTCGCCTGCAGGTTGCTTTTCTGGAAAACATGCATTTGCGAGTTTCCTGCGACAAACAAGTTCTAATCTCTAACCAAAGTCTCCCTTACAAGAATATCTCTTATATTAAATTCAACTAAAGAAAGTAATTTTCATCTTCCACTGTTTTAGCTCCATAATCATGTGGCTAGTATTTGCATTTCTCTTGTTAATCATCATGCGTCATTACCTTCGTTGATCCTTGCTACGCTTTGTTCCGTCGTCGATGTTCTACTAAATTTCTCCTCACACTCTCGCAAGAACGCCGTAGTTGCTAAAAGTTGTGCTTAGGTGCTTTTCTCCTCGTGTCCAGAAACTGTTCTTTTAATAATGACATTGTGGATGTGGCCCAAAACTTTCGTTTCATTTTCAACAAGTTTTGTCGTCTCACCGCCTTACAAGACATCATAGTATTAGAATTACGAAAGAAAGCTTAGAGAAAAGCTAAGATTCGGGTCCAAGGGAGGTAGGCTTTTTTCCCAATATCGAGGTTCATCATGGATTTGATGGGTATGAATTGAGGCCAGTGACTCTTTCTTCCGCACCTTTATCTTTTGCTCTTTCCAAAGTACAATAATTTCGATGTAAAGGCCAGCTTGCCCTGGGCTTCCCTCGTGATGCGTATACCATCCATGTTCTTCCCATTGCAAATGGACAAATGCTCCCCGATACTGGTTTTTGCCCTAGCTCTATCTCTTTTCCCTGTACTTTGACCACTATTCATTATATAAAGCAACAAATCAGAAGTTAAATAAAACACTCCGAAAGTTAACACCATGCTGTAGCAAATTTTTAACGATCCTTATCGAGATAACTCTTTTGTTTTCAAATACTAGATGCAAGTCAAACAACCCACGACGGTTAGCATCAGTGTGGTTAATAATCTTCCCTTATGGAAGCATATGAGGCTCACATGGAACTAATGTGCTCCAACTTTATTTCAGGAGCTGGGGAATTCTTTCCTTAACTATTGCATATTGTTGGCAGCTCTACACGTTGTGGATTCTGATACAGCTCCACGAAGCGGTTCCAGGAAAAAGGTACAACAGATATTTGGAGCTTGCCCAAGCGGCATTTGGTGCGTTACTCTCCCTGCAATTACTCATATACTGCAGCCGGCTCTGCAAAATTGGCATGAAATGCTATTTTATTCTTTTTATAAATTTCAATTGTTCACTTCACATAATTAAAAGAGTTAGTTGAAATTAACTATTTCTTGTAATATCTCAATTATTTTCATGAATCTTATTACTTAGAGGAGTTACATTGATTAGGTAGGGAATTTTATAGTTATAGACGCTAAGTGAAAAAAAATTAGTGTTTTAAATAAAACGTATTATATCATAAATCATGCAGTATATAATAAGGACAATAGGGAATATATGAGAAGCATATATGACTTTTTGGTTGTGAAGACCTCCTTGCTCTACTAGGGCAAGTTGGTTAGTCAAACTGAAACGAAAACGATCAAGCAGTAACACGATAAAAAGAAAGTGTGTGCCGGTGAATGAATACTATACGAGTTTCCTAATAGACGCACTGTTCTGATTGGATGTTTGGCAGGGGAAAAGTTAGGAGTATGGCTTGCACTCTTCCCTACTGTTTATCTGTCTGCTGGAACAGCAACTGCTTTGATTCTGATAGGTGGTGAGACCATGAAACTGTTCTTCCAGATAGTTTGTGGTCCCGCTTGTTCCTCTAATCCTTTGACTGCTGTGGAGTGGTACCTCGTTTTCACTTCTCTGTCCATTGTTCTGTCTCAGCTTCCAAACCTCAATTCAATCGCAGGCCTCTCCCTCGTAGGGGCTGTCACTGCCATCACTTACTCCTCCATGGTCTGGCTTCTCTCCGTGAGCCAGCCAAGGCCACCCTCCATCTCTTATCAACCCCTTTCTTTATCATCTCCTTCTGCTTCTGCTTTTTCTGTCTTGAATGCTCTTGGAATTGTAGCCTTCGCTTTCAGAGGCCACAATCTAGTCCTAGAAATTCAGGTGTACTGAAACGAGCTTCTTTCATCTCATTTCTCTATTTTTCTATCACCTTTTAAAGCTGACTTCATCTCTGGCTTCTTAACTCCAGGCAACAATGCCATCAACCTTTAAGCACCCAGCTCACGTGCCAATGTGGAAAGGAGCCAAGGTTGCGTATTTCTTCATCGCAATGTGCCTCTTCCCTGTTGCTATAGGTGGCTTCTGGGCATATGGTAATCTTGTAAGTCAACTGAGAATTAACTATATCAGGTTATGCTTAGTTGCTTACTATATTAAAAGTATAACCAGTTTTGATGTTTCTCGTGTTTGGTGACAGATGCCTTCAGGGGGGATGCTGAGTGCTTTATATGCATTTCACAGTCACGACATTCCAAGAGCGCTACTTGCATTGACATTCCTACTGGTGGTGTTTAACTGCTTGAGCAGTTTTCAAATATACTCGATGCCGGTGTTTGACAGTTTCGAAGCAGGGTACACCAGCAGAACAAATCGTCCCTGCTCCATATGGGTGAGGTCAGGATTCAGAGTATTCTATGGATTTGTGAACTTCTTCATAGGAGTGGCTCTTCCCTTCCTCTCAAGCCTTGCTGGTTTGCTAGGAGGACTCACTCTTCCGGTCACCTTTGCATATCCTTGCTTCATGTGGATCCTCATAAAACAACCCACTAAATACAGCTTCAATTGGTATTTCAACTGGATTCTGGGTTGGATGGGGATTGCTTTTAGTTTAGCCTTTTCCATTGGGGGTGTTTGGAGCATGGTCAACAGTGGACTCAAGTTCAAATTTTTCAAGCCCAATTGAATTTCTTCAGCTCCTTTCTAAACGGTCCCCTTTTCGGACGCTGGAATGATATGCTGAAAGAGGTCACCTTTGTTAATGTAGCGGTGGTTAGTCCATGGTATTTCCAGAATATATGAACGGGGAGGGCGTAAGTCCACGTCTGTAGACGAGCAGATATTTAATTCTTCTGTTGGAAGGGAAAAAGCCCATTTGCCTCGACCTATCCGAATTAGTTCTATAACTTTTGAGGAGAAATTAGTTATCCAGTAGTATAAACTCTTGAAAGGTAGACCATCAAGCCAGATGCAAATAAATACATGCACAATTTGACAATCATTAAATCAGACCAAGGTTTAGCCTCGACGGCCATATCCGAATTCTCCCTCTTGAGAAACGAAGAGGAGCGACAGCGAGCAATGATTCAAATCAGTATAACAATATTAATAAATTACGCTAGTTACTAATATTGAAATGTGACTCATTCTTTGTAATCGTTTTACTTTGTTAGTTGTCTCTTGATTAAAAAAAAAAATGCGACTCATTCTAGACTTTACATAATGCAGGAAGAAATGTGCCTATATATACAGATGTACCTAGGTTTTTCAATATCACTTGTCTTTTGAAAATGCAAAAACTCATCTGATCGCGCTGGGGAAAAAAAAAGCTCATTTGATGGGCTCAGATATAGGATTTAACAAAGATGAAGAAGCTTATATCTGCTAAGTGTGGATTGAGAAATGAAGAATTTTTGGTGGATACTAATTCATGGGAAAGGGACTAATTTTTTAGTTTTTGGACAGAAAGGGACTAAATTGAAACCTGCTGTATGGATACCCCGTGGGAGGATTTGTGTCGCCCAAATGAGATGGCAAGGCCCAAAAAGGGTAAGAGGAGGCCCACTACCACTCCGTCTTATCGGATGTGATGACGTGTCATGATTCCTGCTCTTCATGTCATCCATCCAAAATCCGAGTCCGCTTATCCAAATTCTCCCATTCTGTGAACGCCAAACTGCCATTTCATCTTCTTCATTTGATTGGCGAGGCAGCTCTTAACTCTTCAAGTCTGGTTCTTGTGAGTGGGAGAGCCATAAGGATCAAATAAAAAATGGCCATGGCATCAGCTACCCTCTCGCTTCCCAGCATCACGGCATGCTCCGCCACCAAGACCCAGAGGAGAATGAAGACGGAGGTATCCGTCGGAGGCTTCAATTCATTTGGCGGTCTAAAGGCACACAACGGCGTCGTCTCGTTAGGGCTTCCTCTGAGCACTGATCAGTGTTTCGCGAAGATGGTGAACTCAATGAGAGCCACCGCATCGAGTGCAAAAGGAGCAGGGAAGCGAGGTGGCGCTCTCTCATCCACCTGCAATGCCGCCGGTGAGATATTCCGGATTGCTGCTATCATGAACGGTCTTGTTCTCGTCGGAGTTGCCGTTGGCTTTGTTCTTCTACGAATTGAAGCTTGGGTGGAGGAGTCCGAGGCTTAGCGGAATCATCCATGGTTAGCAACCTGTATTTTACTGTATAATTGAATTGCTTTACTCTTCTTTTGCGCATTATGACTCATAATTATAATTGTATTTGTATTTGTGATGTTAAATTTGGTTCTTAAAATTCTGTGATGGAGCACCTACTGCTCGAGCTGCCTGCCCCGAAACTCAATTTTGTTTAATTATATCTCAACTGTCTGATTCAGTGGATTTGAACGTTGCGTTCTAACAATACATGCACTGTTCGAATCCTTCACCAGTGAAGATAGTTATGTCCATAATCCATCTAATCTAATTCGAGTTTAACATTAAACCAATAGCCTCTGTCGACTAAATCAAATTCTCAAGAATTCGCAAGTGATGCATAAAAGAAAGAGCATGGCAGTTTTATCACTTGGAGCAGACGCCCCGGCAATAATTGTTACAGGGTCTACGTTAATGGTTGATTTCGAGTTCTTTGCAGGTTGGAGCACATCTATGACCTCCTTTAAATGTGTTTCTGGATTTACAAATGTATTTTTAATAAAATATTCACTGAATGGCTGAGTTCTCCGTTGATACAAGTTTAAGTGAGGACGAAGTATGTAATCTTGGATATAAATGCCTAGCTGGCCTCCTTATTGGATTGTTCATATTATGGCTAGAAATTTTGCCTTAGCCTCAAGACCCAGAAGAAGGTAATGCAACAAACAGAGTCAGCAAATGCCCAGAGTCTGCCACATGAAAACGTTTATAAAGATCAGCAATGGAATAGCATAAGAAACACCAGAGATATCGAGCTGGCAATGACAATGTCACTTCCCCAGAAATCCATCCATATAAACAACTCAATCTTGCATATACTTTCTGTGATAATTGAAGTCTAGCATTTGGAAAGGCCTTACAACTTCACATCTCATGTATATGTAGTGGATGGGTGCATGTTTAGCGTACGTATCTCAATGCCTATGTACCTGATATGGATAAAAAATGTAACTCTCAGATTTGGGAGACGAGATAGTTGCGAATTCATGCTGCCCAGGAGAAAAGAAGAGCTGCGAACTTCTTCCATCGTGCAAATAGTTGCTGCTTTAAGATAGTCAACAACGATTTTGAATTTGATAGGGCTACCAATGTTCGACTTCTTATATGAATGTTGCGAACTTCTTCAAGGGTTTATGTGCTTTCTTTATCCATTTTTTGTTCTAACGTCGTTGTATTTTTTTTTGGTTAAATTTAAAGGAATGTCTAAAGAAAATATATGAAATGTCCCTGGGTGATGAGTCCCATTTAAATACGCAAAATTCACTTGAAATTGAGAGAGAATGGAGATCGTCAGTCCCTGAGCTCTTGGCAGGCCCTGGAGGATACAACTTGATAAATTGGAGGTATGGGCTTTAAAACCCACGGTACAGTGGGAATATATGGGCTGGGGTTGGCTGATGCTTTGACCCCCAGCTCCGAGCCTTTCGATCTGTGTGCGTGTGGGCACAGTCGACCTCTGCTTTTATTTGGAAGGAAGAGGAGGCCGGGTAGGGATTTTGCTTTCATCCCGTTACATGGTTAGAAATAGGGGTGAAAACAGGCCAGGCGGTCTGTCAGGGGCCTACAGCTTGGCCTGTATTTGGCCTGGCCTGGCCTGGCCTGTTTTCTAAAAGAGACAGGCTCAGGCCTGTTTGAAGGCCTGTTTAAGTTAATAGGCCAGGCTTAGGCTCTCTAAAAGGCCTGTTAAGCCTGTTAGGCCGGCCTGAGCCTGTTAGAAACTTATAATTATAATATATAAAAAAACTAGTTAATGGTATTGTTAATGTGTACTTTTAATTTATTTTTTAATTTTAATATATAGTTAATAGCTTAGTTCTTCCTTAAATTTTGAAGTTTAGTTGACAAGTAAAAATAAAAATATAATTTAAAATAAAAATATCAATAAATAATATGATCTTTAAATCTTAAAAATATAAATAAAATAGGAAAGAAAATTTTTGTTCCAAGAATGATAGATTAATTAACTTATGTATTATATTAATTAAATTATGATACTCTCTTTATTCATTGTAAAATTAATAGTTTTTTTATTTATTTGTCTTAATTTTTTTGGTACTTAAACATAGTTTTGTCCCAAATTTTAACATATAATTCGAATTAGTTTTCAATAATATCCTTATAAATTGTAATTAAGATTTAAAACAGTACCTATGATACTAAAATTTAAATAAAAGACAAAACTAAAAAAATTAATTATTATATATACTTTTTTATTTTAGCTTTTTTCTAAAAAAAATATTGTAATTTGAATTTTTTAAAAAAACAGGCTTTTAACAGGCTTCAGGCCAGACTCAGGCTGAAAAATAAGCCTGTAACAGGCCACAGGCCAGGCTCAGGCCTATAGGCTACAAAACAGGCCTGGCCTGTTAAGAGTAAAGCCTGGCCTGGCCTGGCCTGTTTCCACCCTTAGTTAGAAAAAAATAAAGAGAATTTTATTTTTTCATCCTTTGTTAGCCTCATGTTTTATTTTCTTCCTTCTCCTGCCTAACCCTGCCTTATATTTTATTTTATTTGAAAGGAAGAGGAGGGAGGGTAGGGAATTTAGAGGGACTATGAAAATCCTTTCCCTTCTCTCGCCATCATAAAACGCCTTCCCCTCATGTCTCGCTCGATTAACATCCCATCCCTCTCCTCTTCTTTATTGAACCAAAATGTAAGGCAGGACATTGCCACGGTTATTAGCTTTTTATGTTAAAAAAAATCAAATAACAAGGTAGAACCGATAACACAAAAAATTACTATATTGCATGTCTGTCATTTTTAATATATGTGCTTCAATTCACAAGATTTTTTGAATTACCCTCCACGATAGGGAAATTATTCAAGGGAACAAAGATTAATAATGACCATTCTTCCTCTTGCCTCTTGGCCTTTTTTCCGACCTTGGTGGCTAGCTAACTTAATTTTGAAGCAATACTGGGGACAAAAACTCTAATAATTATATGAAATGGCTGGCATTGAAAGAGACAACAATTTATTTAGGAACATGTTGACTAATTAAAAACTCAGTTAAGCAACGGCCTCAGTGGCCTGACAAATGACAATAAAACGAGGATAGGAGGGCCGCTAATCTAACATAAGTCTAAAAGAGAAATGTTATATTTTTGGCCAACTAGGAATTATAAAAAGAAATGTTTGAAATACTCTATTGTCGTCTTAAATGAATACGAAATCACTTTTGGTGCATCATGCACATTATTAAACCTTTTCTTCCTAATTTAAGCTACGTACATCCATCTGGTTAATTCAAAACCAGAATAGTATTTGGAGTCACACATGCATGTGAAGAAAGGGAGAAATATTCTGGGCAAAAAGCAGAAAAGGAGGGTTTTAAAAGGAGAGTGTGAATACATATATATATGGATGAGATATGGAGGCACGTGAATAATAAAAGTAATGAAGCTGATTTTGGAGCCACATTTGTCTATCATTTAGAGAGTAAAAGCTTGGGGGAGTATTGGTGGGGAAGAATAGCAGCAGAGGAGGGGTCTGAGAAGAAGCAGTTATGCTGAGTGGACACTCTGAAATGTCCAACAAAAACTGATTCCACCCACATGCGCTTCTGCTCCTCTGTGGGGACTCTCTCTTTCACTTGTTTGTTCTCTTCTCTATAGTCCACACTATACCCTTCAACTTTTACTTTCACTATTATATATTAGGCCTAAGTAATTCACTAATAATTCTGATATGTTTGAGCACGGCCTGCTCGTACCATGGTTTTGCTGGACTAATGATTATTATTATTATTATAACAAAGCACATATATTGTACAGTCAAGTTAGGATATTCATTCGCGGAGAGGTGCACTGTAAGGGATGGATAGAGATGTCTAATAATAATGATTCTGATGCTGAAAGGTGCCGAGTCAGCGAAAAAACAAATAATGTCCCAAGAAAGTTTCCAGATTTCAACATGCTGAGATATACATATATCTTTACTAATTACAAGAAATTTATTTAAAAGATGGTTTTTGTGTTAGGTTTACGGATGGTCATCGAATAACATTATATTCTCAAGATCTCTCTTGAACCGTGACGCCTCTTTAACGCTTTGAAAGCCGTGCAAGCAGCTCTCGCTGTCTGTGTATTTTGTTTTTAAAAAATCCATAACATCTCTATCGACTGTAACAGATGCGAAAGAGAAGAGCCTATAGTGAGTGAGGGATGAGTATGTTTTGAAAAGGAAGGGAGTTTTGACCTTAGTGTTCACTCATTAGTGCATTATTATCTCATGATTAATGCTGAATAAGGATTGGCAGCATCGGTCTTCCCCTAAAAGCTGCGTCCCTCTTTACAAAAAGGCAAAAGCCTATATATATTCTAAACACATTATCATTATTATTTGATTAGTTTTGGCTGAAGAGCAGCGACACGATTCCTGGATGCATGCACTATTATATCTATTATAATAACATAAAGCGCATCAGCCTAAACGGCGTTGATTTCGGCGATTCCTTTCTTTTCCTCTTTGTCGTTTACTTGGTGCTCAAACTAGACCAGCAAGGGAGAAGGTGAAACTCTATTTTCAAAGCAACACATGCTTGTGTATGGCTGTATTCCGATCTCAGCAGCGCTCATATTATTCTTCCACCACTATTACTTGTATATAATATCATTGTTTCTTTAGTCATTTTGCTATTTAGCAAAAGCATCAAACCCTGAAGCTGCATATCACAATCAAAAGCTCAAATCTCGAGCTGCCTCTGCTACTACTATTGTTTGGCTAAACCGATCGAGCAGATTCCTCCCACCATGTATATTTAAAAGACATCTACTCTTCATTACACATTTTCACTGCTTCATGAATTGACCGCTTTGATAGAAACACTGATTTCATATATGTCAAACTTACGTTGCTGTCTTGGACAAATGGCCCGCGCGCAGTTAGAGTTCGATCACATTATTAATTATGTTACTAGTTACCTAATCCCCTAAAGGTGAATTAGAGTAGTTCAATAACTAATCTGGATTTCTTGAACTGGGCTAGCTATAGCTAGTGGCGCACCACTGTACACGTCTTGCTCGCTAGCTGGATGTGAACGTTAGAGGAATATAAAGTAGTACCCACATGTTACGCCGAGGATTTGTTAGGTTGTTTAAGAATGAGTCGATTTACGTTAATATAAAAGGTCTCATATCAGATAAAATTAGGTTTTAATAAGCAATTTGTTATAAAATGAAAGAGCTCACAAACTTGAATCTTAAAGTTTTGAGATAAGATGTGGTGAACTTCTACCGCCCTCTAAATATTCTTACGCTACTCTTTAATCTGTCTAATTTGTTCCCTTTTCACACCCCATGAGTGAGATTGGCCATAAATGGTAAAACAAAAGCATCACGAAGAGTCGGTGATCGATCCAAAAATATAGTTCCACTAGAGCTGCAATATGTCTGTTCTTGCTTGAGGTTCACTGAAGTGGTTGATTACTCCGGGTATACACACACCCCTCGTTGAATTAGAAAAAATAATATGATAATATGGGAGAATTAATGCAAAAGCAATAATTAATGGGACAATACATACGGTCTGGAGCAAGCGACTAAATTCCATATATATTCTGTAGGGTCTTGGTTGAATAAAATATTATTATATGCTAATGAAATGGGTTTGAGTAGAAGGAAGACAAGCACATGGAATAAGGAATATATAGGGAAAGCATTTTGACAACATGGCAAATGAGGCAAAGAACGACATGTTGACCGGATATTATATGATCACAACCTTATTGTTCGATAGTCCAAAACAAGGATTGAGAACATATATAAATGGCCCTCTAAACAAATGTATAATAGAAGCAAAATTTCGTTTCCCGGAGAATCTAGAGCGCATCAGGCGCTGACCCTTAGCTTCCAAAACTAATATTAAACCGCAGATTATATTATTTAACTTATTCTTGCCGAGCTTCATCTCACATAATATTAACAAAACCAACCAAAACCAGGGAATAAACAAAGAGGGACTAATAAGCATAGGGGCGCGAGCATAATTAAGACACACCGCGATACTCTGTGATAATACAAATATGGTTCATATCAAATGTGAGTACTTGCTGCGATCTTAATGCATGTTGTGTGTATAAAATAATGGAGGGTGCCAACAAATACATATGGGAGAAAGTAAAAAAACTAAAAGGGTTATTAGGCAGGGATGACCGCCGATGAGTCACGTGACGGAAGCCAGGTTGACGCCGAGGAATATGGCGTCCACGCGCGCATAGGATTCGACAAGGCGTTTGGACATGGTTTATACGGACACGGTGAGGGAATATTTGAGTTTGTGGTGTCCATATCATAATAATATATCCTCCGACTTCTTCTTGTTTGACGTTGGAAATGTTACACCCTCCATTAATAACAACATCATCGCTCACACTATCTAAATCCCGATTTTATCCTTCAAGTTAATTCAAGAGATATTTTACAAAAACTTAGAGAGTAGATATTATTTAACGAATTCTTATGAGGCATATATTTAAATTTTTCTTTTCACATTAATTTTAAGGAAAAAGAAATAGGAACGGGAAGGTAACAACGTAAGGAAATGCATGTGAGGGTGTGGGGTGGTGTCGCCGGACATCATAGCCACTCTGACACAACTCTTATTGTTATTATTATGGGTTAAGGTGCGTCCAACACCCTGAACTATTTTCCCAGGTGCACCCAATGTCTAAAGTAATTTTCAGTACACCTATTGTCCCAAACTAATTAAAACAGTGCATCCATATTCCGGACTAACAGAAAAGTTAAATTTGACCGTTACCTTGCTAACTCGGCTGAAGGTTGACCCAAAAATCCTACGTGGCGGACACGTAAGCGTCTAATGTGTATTATTTTTACGAGTCTAGGTGTGCTCAGTATCTCGAACTATTTTTCCAGTTGCACCCAGTGTCATAAAGTAATTTTTGGTGCATCCAATATCCCAAACTAATTAAAATGATGTGTCCACATTCCAGGCTAACAGAAAAGTCTCATTTGACTATTACTTTGCTGATTCAGCTGAAGGTTGATTGAAAAATCCTACATGACGGACACGTAGGCGTCTGATGTGTATTATTTTAACTAAAAATTCAATTTTTTCCTCCTCTTCTAACATTTATCTTTTGCTAGTTTTTAAACTTTAAAAAAAGAAAGACCACGGATCCATCCTCTTAAATTTTGGTGCATGTACCACCCAATCAATTCCATCATCGTCTTTAACATTTGATCCCATTTCTTCCACCACTTTGATCTGAAACCACAATCGCCGTCACAGCACACTTCCATCTCTGTCTCTGTTAACTCCTCATTCGACTCACATTTGTTTTCCTTCATGTAAAACACAGTAAACTTCCCCTTGGTCACTCTGTTGACATCGCCGTCGCCTTTCAAGAAAACACCCGCTGCCACCGGGCTTGTCTCGAGAGTTTTAGTCAAAATAATACACATCAGACACCTGCGTGTCTGCCATGTAGGATTTTTCAGTCAGTCTTTAGTTGAATCAGTAAGGCAACGGTCAAATGAGACTTTTCTGTTAGCCTGGGATATGGACGCACTGTTTTAATTAGTTTGGAATACTGGATACACTAAAAATTATTTTAGGACACTGGGCACACCTGGAAAAATAGTTTGGGGTGCTGGGCGTATCTTAACTCGTCAACATAATACACATCAGATGCTTACGTGTTCGCCACATAGGATTTTTCAGTCAATCTTCGGCTGAGTAAGCAAGGTAACGGTTAAATTTAGCTTTTCTGTTAGCCTGAGATATGGATGCACCGTTTTAATTAGTTTGGGATACTGGATGCACTGAAAATTACTTTAGGACACTAGACGCACTTGGAAAAATAGTTCGGGATGCTGGGCGCATCTTAACCCTATTATTATTAGGCCAAATCATACACTTTGTCCTTTAATTTTATGTAAGGCTTCACTTTAGTTTTTTAACTTTAAAAAATATACTCTTAGTCCTTTAATTCCAAAATTGTTAGTCTTAAATGATTATTTTTTATAACAATCATGGTTGTTTTAAATATTAAACTTAATATGTTAGCATTTAATAATATTTTATTAGCATTTAAGAGCTCAATATCACCATTTTTTGTTAACAGTTTTAGGGTTGAAGGATTAAAAGTTTACTTTTTATTAAAGGACTAAAATGAAACCTTGTATAAAGTTAAAAGACTAAAAGTATACTTCAATCCTATTATTATTATTAGTCTTTTTTTTCCCCTCAATTCTTATTTCTCACGTCTCCAATTTTAGTCGAATATTTGTATATAAATATATATATAGAGACATATATATTTATTTTTGCTTGGGGCCTTCGCACGTGGCCAGCTCGACGTTTTACGGGCCATGCGTGCTCCCCCAAGATCAGAATTCTTCAAGGTTGTTGCGCATATATTAATTAATTAACATGCATATATGATACTACTTCTAGTCCTTAGTATAAGAGCTAATTGATTAATTGATTAATTTGAGTAGATTATAAAAACTAATTAAATTAGTTATTTATAATAAGTAGATGTTGTCTTCTTTAAAATACCCTTACTAATCAACTGTTATTTGATGAAACATTTAACATATATAACTATTATATTAATTATTTTGAAAAAAAATGGATAAATAAGAGAGACAAAATGGATTGGGATCTTATATTTAGAAACAAATTAAAAATCAAACTAACTCTTATATATATATATTAAGGATAGGAAGTAGTACCTTTTAATTAATTATCACCACCAAAGACTTCTTGAGGTTTTACAAATTTTACATGATTTCTTTTTTTTTCTTCTGGGGTTATAGTAAATTAGTAGTGAATTGAAAAACGAGAAATTAGAAAGGATGAGCATGAGGCATAATGCGACGTCTGAAATTATGTGCATGGAACTGCAGAGCATTAATCAGGAAGGCACACAGGTGCAGTACTGTAGAGCAGGGATATTTAATCTTTTTGGGGAGCCAACAACAATCCTCGTTCATAATAAAATGGGAATATTCGGATTCAAGAAAATGGTGTTGAAACAGATACAGAAACAGCAGCTTGCTCTATTTGATTTCAATTGGGTCTCCATCCATCAACGTTCTAAGGAACATATAGGCTCAGTTCTCCCATTGAATAGTGTCCCCTTTGTTTTTTGTTTTCTTTTTTCCCCCCCTTCTCGAATTCCAATTAATCCTTGCAGAAACCTCTCTCTTCTCTGATTTCCTGTATAAGTACTAATAAGAGAAAACCAACCAAACACTACTCCATCCTCCCCCCTCTTTCTCTCTCAGCTCCCCTACATAAATACTTCCCCTTTTCACTTGCTTTTCGTTCAAACTACCATCCCTAGAAAGTCTGATAACTTTTCTCTTTGTGTTTCTCTTATCTGACTAGTGACTCCTATTCTCTGCAATTAATTACTTCATCACTGCTTTAGACTTCTACTTTCAGCTCTAGCGAATCCTACGTAGAAAAGCCTAGCTATCAGCTCCGTCATCGTCTCTCGAAACTAAAGCAAATCATAAGGCACTCATGATATAATCACAACTTTAGCTCCTCCTTCATCCCATTCTCCTCTTCCTTCTTCCACCTCTTTCATTTCTTACTATTTCTGCCCCGCTACTACATCCTTTTCACATCATTTATTGAACTCTGATCCTATATTCTTTGCCACCTCCTTTTCTATTTAACTACCACATGCGTCCCGTTGTGTGTCACTGAGCCCAGATCTATAGGTTCCCCATGTTCACTGCCTCTCAGTCACACCCAGTAATGCGAAGCTTCACACCTTTCCCGGACCTTTCTTTGAATATCAGCCCTCCAGATTGTAAAGCGAAACAAGTCGAGAGTCACACTAAGGGATTCGCAACCAAAAGGCCTCACAGTGATATGTGCTCCACCTCCGATTCTGGAAGCAGCGAGAGTGATTTAAGCCATGAAAATGCCTTTTCGCACCTTGGCTATCGTGAGCCTACTTTGAGCTTAGGCATCAAAATGGCAGATTTGAATCCCCTTCCACTCCCAAGAAACGTGAATCACTTTCACAACCCGCAACCTCACATCTATGGTCGCGACTTTAAACGAAACACCAGAGTCGTCTGCGGTGTGAAAAGGAGCATCAGAGCTCCTAGAATGCGATGGACTACAACCTTACATGCCCATTTTGTTCATGCTGTTCAACTTCTTGGCGGCCATGAAAGTAATCATATGCCACCATTAGTTTCATCATTTGGTTTAATATTCATATAATTAAAAGTCGATGCTTTCTCTTGATTTCAAAGTATGTATATACGTCTAATTTTGGGTTTTAATATTACTGGCAGGGGCAACTCCAAAGTCAGTGTTAGAGTTGATGAATGTAAAAGATTTAACCCTAGCACACGTTAAGAGCCACCTACAGGTGGGTGGGGCATAAATATGCATCACTCAATTTATTTTTCCCCTTTTTAGTTTTTAACGCCTGGAAGAAGTTTACGAAAATAACTAGCTAGCTGTTTCCGAGTTGCCTCCACTAGTGCCATAGTGGGGAACGGGAGAATCAGAGAGTCATCCTGGCTTTGTTGGACTTTTGTTTCTCATTTTCTTATCTGATAAGATTGTTCAATGTCCATGCAGATGTATAGAACAGTGAAAAGCACTGCCAAATGCACAGGTAATAGGAGTTTCCCTCTCAACTATAATGATGCCATTTTTTCTTCTGGTAGTATTATTACTATTCTTCGTGTTGAGGTGTTAGTGGTGATTCTAGCGAGGCAGAAACTCTATGATTAGGTCTAGCACTGTTACCCACTAATAAAAACAAAAGTTGGGGTTGGATTGTAGTACTGGCTACTGACTTCAAGTCTTGATGTGAATTATTAACCTTGGTGTCTGATAAAGATAGAGCAATGCCTCCCCGGGCGACCAATGTTGCAGGTCATGGCCACACTGATATGGGATTAGCCGTTGTCGCTGAGCATGGAGCAGCCTCAGCTTGTGAGAGAACCCATCTACCTCTGCCACTTCAAAGATCTCACAAGTAATTGATCCTCTCTCCGACTCTTGACCCTTATTTTTTTAGCGTTTATGGCATCATATTTATCTATTAATAAACTACTAAAATAAAAAAAAATTTAAAGAAAAAAAACTCAATCATATAATAAAATTATTGATCATACTTTTATGCAAAAAAATTTAATAACAAAAATCTTAAATCAAATTTTGGTCAGCCCTTATTACGCTTAGATGGAGGATATTGTCTGCTTTAGCAGTATGAACTTAATATGGCAATTGACTGATTTCCTTAGAGGGTCTTCTCATTGTTTGTTAGCTATATGCTAGCGTCGCTGCACGAATATTCAGAAATGCCCTCGTGTATCTATATATCTGTCTCTGGCTCTCTGCCTGTCTTTTTTATTGCCCGGTACATAGATTTTGAAAAACAAAACCTAGGGTTTCATTAGGTATGTTGGTGGTCATTGTGATGTGTACCCCTATTAATCACCGGATATTAATTCTTCGCCCGTTAGGTCGTCGACCGATGCACTTGTTGATCATCCCACTATGCAGTACAAAGTCATACATTTGGTGCAAATCTCAATGTCTTGTATTCTACAGACTAAAAAGTTGCTCTGAGTGATACCCAATGTCGATCGAATGGACAATATGTACGATATTTCCTCTAGATCGTCTTCCCCTAGATGATCATCCCTAATCTTTATTAACATAAGGCGAAGTTAACCAGGTTATCAAGTTTAGATTGCCAAAATTCGTATTCCAGACCCTCACTCCCAGTTCAATAGGCATTATACTGTAGTTGATTTGTGCAGATACGATGTATATTTGGGTGTTGAAATGGTTTAAGCATTTTTCAGAGAGAGAGGAAAAAAAGAGTTTTGCGGATTATGTAATGTTTTACTTCTGGAACTAATTCCTTAAGATAATGTTGCTTGATACCCACAGCAACAAGGAATCATGGCAATCATCAACGGAGACAAGGACAAACGATAGTAGACAAAAACCAGGAACGAGTTTGACGTATTCTCAAGTGAAGGCAAACGAAAGCATGGTAAGCTAAAGCTGGCATATATAAAGAGTCAGAGCAGAAACAAACCCGGCATATTTTGTAGTCTTTGGTGCGTGTAATCATATTTTTGTAAAGTATTTACAATATTATTGTGGGGTTTGATGAAACAGGTGGTTGGAAGGTCATTGTCAGATTCTTCAGATGAGACGCTTAACCTAGAATTCACCCTTGGAAGACCCAGTTGGAACACAGACCAGACTCAATCATCAACAGACTTAACTTTTCTCAACTGTTAAACTTGCACTATATGTGCCCTTTCCCTGTCACCAACACTTTTGATACCGAAAGCTGAACTGTTTTATTGTGGATGTGAATGATTTTGTTCCCATGACATGTCTTTTTGAGTTTGTCTGGAAAAAAGAGAAAGAAACTAAATGGGATAAGTCCTTCCTATGAGACATATGCTTCAGTCCAAGAATTCATGATCCTTGTCTTTCATGTCCTCGTCAAATGAAGGTAAGATTGAGAGAAAGTAATGTGGTTTTTAATTTGCGCTTGGTTAGGACACCACCCATTCGGCAATATATTGACATTGGATGTGTGTGTGTGGGGGGGGGGGGTCAGTTTATGTCTTGATACCATAACATATCATTCTCATCAATAATCTCATTTTGCAAGTTGGGTCTTTCTTCTCTTTTCTTTTTTTTAATCAGTTAAAGGATGCTCAGAGTAGTCCATAATTATGTATCACCGATACCATATAAAAGGAGAAGTGGTAAATTTAGGCCGAATATGGTTTTTGAATAGCAGTCTTATTTTTGTTCATTGAAAATGATTTATTGATCATAATTAATTGTACTAAACAATCAAACATGATATAAATTAAAAATTGAATTTTTTTAATTACTAAATAAGTTGATATTTTAAAACTAACTATTTATTAATTAAAACATCATTCTATATGTAATATATATAATTATTAAGGTATGCATTATAATTTATAATAACCCCATACTTCCCACTCAAACTTCACAACAATAAAAAGAAAGAAAGTAAAGGAAAGGAATATCATAGAAGAAGAACCTAAAAGTCCCATCCACATTATCGTACCTAAAAAAAAACACAAAAGTACTTGCGTGGTAAAGCAAGCAGGTTGAATTATTATGATGCATTAATGGACAGATGGAAGCAAAAGCCAAAATAATATGCAAATAATTCAACTTTCTAAGAAGAGGGAGGGAGGAAAATGAATGATCCGAGCTCAAACAGCGCGCACGTTCAGGCAAATGGAAGAAGAATAAAAAGAAAACGAGAAAAGCTAAGTAAGAGAGAAGGGGCCAAAAAAAGTGATGAGGAGGAGGAGAAATATTAGGAAAACATGGAAATGCCATAATGGATAAGTTGAAATTTAAATCACACATAAAATAAAGACGAAGCAGGGGAACGCGAAAAAAGCCTCTCAACGTTATGGCAGGTATCATTATTATTATGAAGCGCTTTCCAGTCACCATGGTTTGTATGGGACAAGCAAGCAAATAACCAAGATCAGAGCCTGTTATTTACATATTGTTGCAGGCAAAGTAGAGAGACCAATTAAGTAATACATGGATGAAACATGGGTAGTTACTGTATATGAAGATGTCTTCGTCGGCCCGTAAGACTACAGGCTCACTTGTTGTACTGCAATAATGTCCTTCATTGCTGATGAACAGTGACTGGTTCCTCACCCAGCAACACACATACACACATATATATCCATAATTAGATGGCGTTGGGACTTTCAAGTTGGAAGGTTGCTCTTGCGCTTCATCATTGCTCTCTGCTAGCTGCTTCGCCTTGTCCTTTTCTCAGGATTTATGCTCATTTGCCCCTCCACGACATTGCTTCCATATCTTTCCCACACATCTCTCTTCTTTAACATAAATTTACCCATTCACTACTCTTAATCCCATCCTTTCAGATCATCATTACTACTTCGTATAGATCTAGTTTATATGACATATATACAATACTTCAAAACCTGGCGAGGTACAGTTAAAAAACTGGATTTAACTATTCGACAGCAACTGTGTTTTCACCATTATATTATATACAAAATCCTCTTGTATCAGAGTATCCACATCCCTGACATTTCAGAAATTGATGTACCGTTGGTTCGTTCATAATTTCTGGGGCCACACATTCTGCTGTGTGGGTTCAGTCTTATTGTATTAATTCATGTGGAAGGAGGAGCTCCACCATGCACTTATTGGTCTCTTCTGATCAGATCTCTGATGCCTTTCATCTCTTTCATTAATCACATGCATGAATGCCTTCTCGTTTATGTATGTTCATCCCTGAAAAGGATATCCGTTCAAATCGGCGTTCGGTCCAGTGAAACCAATCTGGGCTGTAGCTGAAACAGCGGCCCCTAATATGGACCAGCATTTATGACTTAAGCAAACAAAGGGAAAGCGA